AGGAATGGAGTTGCTGAAATCACAACTGAATTTCACAGGGCCCTAGAGTTTAAAGAGACTTTGAACATCTTCTAGAATTTTCACCCTACCTAAAAACACTATGCACAAACCATCACAGAAGAATTATTTGTCTTCCCTTTTCATTGTTCACTGCAGCAACCTAGGTGACACATCATTACAGCTTTAAGGAAATTTTTGATCCTTAAAGTCTGCAAGTGCATCCTAGTGATTAACCTAGGACCCTCTTACAGTTTAAAAATATTCCCTCATCTTCAAGGCTAGAGAATATATATGTGAGTGTGTGTATGTGTATATATTACATATACACATACACACACATATATTTTATTACTGCGTAGCAAACCACCCTAGAATCAGTGCCTTAAAGCCATTTTATGTGCTCTCTGGCCTTGTCTGGGATCATGCATGTAGCTGCTACAGTCATTTGGCAGCTTGACTGGGTGCATTCATGCCTGGCAGTTTGTGCTGACTATTGGCTGGACCTCTCTCTCCCCTTGTAGCCTTTCATCCTCAATATTATCCTGGGCATCTTCACATTGTGGCAGCATGCCAAGCAAATACAGAGTGGGAACTGCAAGACCTCCTGAAGCAGAAACTTGACATCACTTCCACCACATTCTATTGGTCAAAGAAAGTCAAAAGGCCAGCACATATTCAGAAACTGGGGAGATAAAGTTCCCTTCTTTTTAAATTTTTTTAATTGAAGTATAGTTGATTTACAATATTGTGCCAATCTCTGCTGTATAGCAGTGACTCTGTTTTATACATATATACATTCTTTCTTTAATATTCTTTTCCATTATGGTTTATTCCAGGAGACTGGATATAGTTCCCTGTGCTATACAGTAGGACCTTGTTGTTTATGCATTCTAAATATAATAGTTTGCATCTACCAACCCCAAATTCCCAGTCCACCCCTCTCCCTCCCTCCCTCCCCCTTGGCAACTACAAGTCTGATCTCTATGTCTATGAGTCTCTGTTTTGTAGATAGGTTCACTTGTGCCATATTTTAAATTTCCCTTCTTGACGGGAGGAGTAGCCAAGTCACATTTCAAAGGGGTATGCATATAGGAATGGAAGCAGTTACTGTGATGATCTTTGCATGTAGTCTATCACAATATACAATTATTTCAAGAATGATACTAACTAAAGCTGCTGTATTGCTTTTCTCTTTTCTTTTTCTTAATGCTTGATGATGCCTTTAAGAAGAGCATAACAAGGAAACACTAGTCAGACCAATTCTTTAAACTAAGTGGGTCAATTTGCTGGCCTTGTATAAATAAACTTTAGTGATTCCTTTACTTTCCTCATCATTTTGTTGCTTTCTTTAAGATTTTCCCATCTGTTCTAAACAGATCTCTCTAAAACACAGTATAAAAACCTAACAACAAGTAGAAGCACTTATAGTTCCTATAGGACATACATATTCTGGTCCAGATTTTTCCAGCTTTGATTATGACGTGGCATTTTACAACACAAATAATTAAATTCATAATTATTTACAAATCAAATTGTGGACCAAAATAGAGGCTGAAAGTTTAGAAAGGGTCATGGAAAATTGATTTAGAAGGACAAATATTAAACTGTTGATCTATTATCAATTCTAGAACTTAACATCTAAGCAAACAACATAATATGAAAAAGGATGATAATGCTTTCCCTAAGATGTTTATTTTAAGGACAGTAGGGAGTAGGTTGTACCTGCTGCCCTGGAGGTAAGTCACCTACTAGGAACCGCCCCCCAACCCCACACCCCGAACATGGACTTAAAGTTTCCATTCCTGGTGCTAAAAGCACACTTAGGTCTTCCTGGCCAGGTGACACAGAGCATGCACCATGCTGCCATGTGACACGGCACCAAACCATGCCTTACAGGTCTTCCATTCAAATGCATTTTAGATAGCATTTAAGTGAATTCCATTTTAAAAAATGTTTTTTGTTATAGGGGAGTATGTTCATAAGTAAGTCTGTATTATAATCTAATAATAATAGCTAGAGATAATTTTGTCACTTATTGAACTCAGACAAGGTGCTAAGTGCTTTCTGGTTTTTCACTGAATCCTTACCAAGTTCCTGGGTTAGATATTATCCCATTTTACAAATTAGGGCACAGATAATTTGTGTTTGACCTAAGATTTAAACGTAGGTCTGAGTCCAGGTCCTGTACCTCAAGTTACATGCGCTCAGATTATATATTCTGATTATTCCTAAAATTTTATCTTCAGCTCAGACCTGTCCCTGAAGCCTCTAAGCTCTATTTCTAACTACCCAGGAGGCAGATAATCTGAATTTCCCCAGGCATCTCAAAATTAGCAGGGTCCAAACTGAACCTACCTTCTCACGAAACCTGTTCTTCCTCTTCCAAATTTTAATCAACAGTGTTGCTATCTATTCAGGCTATCAAGGTAGAGGCCTTGGAGTCACAGAGAGGAGCACATGCAGAGATGCAAAGTAATGCAAGTTACCTGTGTACAAGGTTTCTCATCTCACTTATCCCCAGCGTCTAACCTAGCACCATTGGTTATGCCTCAGAAAAGTCTAGAAGATAGTGTCCTCTCTCCATGGGCACCATCAGTCTTCTAGTCCAAAACCTCATCTCTG